CCACTCGGCTTCACAGCCCAGCCATTCCCACCGCGCCAGCCAGCCAGCCCAACCGCGCCCGCCTTCACCCAGCGCGCGCGCAGCAGCACGTTGGCCCGACTCGCGCGCGGCCCACGCAGCCAGACAGTGCGCCACTCACGCCCATGCACCCGTCTGCCTCGCTCGCTGCCACTGCCCGCTGGACCCCGCATGTCAGCCGCACACCCGCCACAGTGTCGTCTTCCCCCACGCCTCAACCGCCGCGCGACCAGAGGCCGACAGCCGAGGCAGGGATGGGCCAGGGGGGTCACGCCCAGGGCACAGCCTTGTCCCCTTGCGCCGCGCCCACGCAATCTCCACACCAACCACCCATGCCCCGCGATGCCGCTCGATGCGCTCGGCGCAATCCCCAGCCGTCCGCCATTGGAGCTCGGAGCTCCGACTATAAAGCCACGGCCCTCGGTTGCCCTAGCGCCCTTCCATCGCCCGCCGCCACTTGTGGCCATCCACCAGACCACCCAGCACGAGGGCCGAGGGGAGGAGAAGAACAAAGAGGGCGGAGCCGCTGCCGGGAGGAGGACCGGGAGATCACCGGAGCCGGTGCGGACGACACTACACGACACTGTTTCTGGAGCTTCACGGCCACGACTCTTCACTGCACCACCGAGCCGCCGATCACCGTGGCCAAGGCCTTAGGAATCCTTAGCCGACGCCCTGACCCTACCATCGTAGTCTCCATGGTGTTCGGGAGCTTTTCCCCTCCTCAATTGGACGCCAGCGCCTACGACAAGGCTCGCCAACGAGGCTCGCCGCTGGCAGGAACACGCCGGGAGGAAGCAGGGGAAATTTCCTCTCACCGGCCACACACGCGTACACCCGGTTCACGAAGACCGCAATGGAGGAGATGAAGGGAGGACTCGGTCCACCATGGACCCTGTCTTAGGTCCATGGACCATGAACCTGCGCCCACCATGAACCACACACCGTGAGCCAGCACTGTGGACGAAGCCCAGTAGAGGCCCATGGCCATGACATGGCTGCGTCACAGCACGCCACGTGTCCGGGTCAGCCTGGCCTAGACCGGCCCAACCCGAGCCCACCAGAGCCCATTTGAGACCCGGCCCGTATTGATCGTTGACTGGTCAACGTTGACCGTTGACCTAGCCCCACATGTCGCTGGGTACGTACACACTGGACCCACACGCCGATGTCGACGTCGAAGCTGTCGACGCCACGCGGGACCCACATGTCAAGAGTAACAACACGGTGAAGTGACGTCATCGCCGACGCCACGGTGATGTCACCGCGCCGACGCCGCAGCCTCTAGCCCCACACGCCGCTGACCACGACCGCTGACCGCTGACCATTGACCGTTGACTCGGCGTTGACTTTGACCGAACCCACATGTTAGTGACCCAAGAGCCCTGGACCCACCTGCCAGAACTGATGACGTTGCTGACGTCAGCTGGACCCCACCTGTCAGCACGAAACCGAGACGATGATGTCACGATGACGGCATCATGCCACGTGGACCAGTCACAGCGTGACATGTGTCAGCCCAGGATTAATTCAGCCTTTTTCCATTTTCAGAAATGATTTAATCTTCGGAAATTCATAACTAATTCATACGACCTCAGAAAAATACGAAACCAGGACCAAAATTCATCTAAAATCAAGGTCTAGGCAATGAACCCATGTTTGAGTGCATTTGGCTCTTTTGAATTTTCATTGCATCTTTATGTTATTCTATAGACGTCGCTAACGCGACTATAATGCGATCGTTTGCAGACTCGGAGGAGAACCAGACGGACGAGGATCGTGAGTACCGTGAGGAGTACGGAGACGACTACACTGAAGGTGCCACATCCCACCCAATCTCGTAGCACCTATTATGCATGGCTAAAATAGAAATGCTAGTGCTTTACTTTATTGTTATGATCACACCATGATAGGACTTGCATGGTAGTATGCTTTCTTGATGGCCTTTACCTTGACGCAACCTTACCCCTGCTCACCCAGCTGTTAGGCTAGTCACACGCTTGCTACTATATTGCATTGCTTATTACTTCTACTACGCTTGCACTACATTGATGCGTGGTGGAAACTGTTGTTATCTGGACTATGGAGAGAATGTTGTGTGTGTGACTTGGGTGCTTGGAGGGTGAGGGTTGTGTCGACCAAGTTGGAGTATACGACGATCCTGGGGCAAGTCTTGCCGTGGGGTGCTACCTGGTCACCCCTGGAATGGATACCTGTGGTGGGTAAATGGTATATGAGGTAGCCTTGGGTGTGAACCTGTGATGGGAGGAGCCCAGGGTGGAGGTGCTGTGGTGGCACGGTAAATGGAAACCCTGATGAAGACATTCTGGCTTGGTCATCCCTAAGGACTTACTAGTACTCAGATTCACCGGAAGTCTTACGTACCACTCGCCCTATATGGTGCGGGACGGCCGGACTACTTGGTAGGATATTGTCACTACTGCTAGGTTGATAGCGGACAGTGTGAGGGAGGTACTGGGTGCGGAGGATTTCCCCCACACCCTTCCGAGACTTCATGGAGACCTTGTGGACCCGGCTCATGACTCACAGTTTCAGCCACCCCAGACTAGACTTGGGGTGTACCAGGGCTGAATGGTAGAGTGGCATTATCCTAGGCTAGCAAGCGGTCGGAATCAGCCCAGTTGACGACGGTCAGCGAGGAAGGCGGATCTTATGGTTATGTAAAACCTCTGCAGAGTGTATGGTTGATCGATCGATACATATGCCGACTTGTCGGTTATGGACCTTTCCTGGGTTTCGCTTAAACTAGATAGTGAGATGAGTCCTTTTCTCCCCCGGGAGTGAGTGTTCGAACGTAGCCAGGGGCTACGGGCCTTGAGACAGTGCCGAGAGGGAGTTGGCCTGTCGACTGAGCGATGGTATGGGTGTGGTATGGTGATGGTGTGGAGATGATGGTATATCGATCCCAGGATCGAAACCTGGCTCTGGAATGGGAATGGTGTGGAATGTGTGTGAGAATGGTGTTAAAACTTGACCAACTATTATTATGTACTTGATATGCTAATACATAGGAAACCCCAGCCTTATAGGACCCTTTTGAATATATCCAACTTGCATCAAATTTCCACAAAGCAATGCTCATAGGGTGGGAGTGGCCAGTACAAATCGTACTGATAAATTTTGGCACACAGGTTCTGCTGAGGAGTATAGTTCCGAGGAGTTGGACGGTTGAGGGGTTCGTTCCTACGCTCGAGTTTGGCGATCTTGTCTTCAAGCTGTTCTGAATGAATGCTACTTTTGATTCTGCCAATGCGGCGATGTAATAATTTATGTAATTCCGCACTATTTGTACTCTGATATTATCGTTGTATGGATGTGATATTCGACTGGAATTTGGGTAATATGATCTACAACGGTCTTATTACACTTCGACACTATGGATTTCCCTTCGCGGAAATCGGGGTCGCTTCAATACCATTGAGCAAGTATGATATACAAACTCCTTGTAAATTCACTTTTAAATACTGATTTTCTTGCTTCATGCTTTTCTGCATATTCTTCATCTTTTAGAGAACGAGGACTATTAGCATGTAGCCATGCTATTCCGACAACCTTAAACTAATACCACTTGAATTTACAAAGTCGTTTTATGAGGAACCTCAATTAAGTTTATGTCTGATATGAGGTTTAGAGATATCTTTTATGTTGCTGAATGTTAGAAAAATATACTCAGCATCTACCGTGATCTTTCATGGATTATACCATCTGTGCTGCAGTATCAGACTTAGATATATAATGATTGTCCAATTGATGTATTTATATGCCGAATGAAGTTTAAGTGACACATAATATGGTTTACGGAGTGTTTATTTCTTTTGATTTCTTGAGGACACATATGGACTAGTTGCACTTGCTCACTTGGCTGCTGTCACTTAGAAATAGCTGTAATGTGATTATGTGAAACTTTATGAATCACTCAAATAATCAACTTATCTATAAGCAAAACAAGATAAGCAACACAAATGTGTCCTATACGTTGTCTTACCTCACTGCAGTTTCGACAATAATCCAAGGATGGAAGGCCCGGAGCTACAAGGGCTTGCAATGTATGACACGAGCTGTTGAAGGTGCCAAGCAGCTCATCGCACACGCGACATGGACATCAGCGGATCAAAACTTTATTGGAGCACCTGGTAGAAAAGCATGCCAGATTGCCAGGTAGCTTGGTATTGGTAGCTTGTAGCGTGCCTGCAAGGAAAAAAGCTGGGTGGTGGCAACTCACGCCTTGTAAATAGTCTTATCGAAGTCTTGTAGTTCAGTTGAGACCTCTTGGACTGATGGTCCAGTGAACCGACAATGCAATGTACCATATGGTTTATCTATGAACTGGAACCGTGTAAAATATTATTTGCCATTTTGGTAGTTTCAGTTGATTTTCGCTTCGGTCTGTAATGTTTACTGAGGATAGCCACTATGGTCAAACATTTCAGGTTGAACTTCACTTCATCTATGAGGAAATACCAAACAATGATACAAATATTGTAACAATTTGCCATAGTAAAAACTGAGTCAACAAATGGATAAATATTCATCAAAAGTTTGCATCAGTAGTAGCCCCTTCTCCATGTTTCCTTATTTTGATCTACGTCGGGCTGTTACAGGAAGCTATTCAAGAGGAAAAAATTGTAACAAGTCAAAAAAGACTACTGTGTATGATGAATCTTTCTACTATGCTGTACATGATACCTATGCTCAACACAATATACAGTGGCATGTCCGGAAGGGGGGTGCATTGCTCAACTCATCTATATATGCTTCATCTGGTCTCGTGCTGGGATGTGGAGCCTTGATACTTCTCGTGCTGGGCATTGCATGTATTGATATTAGATGTACGAATATCATGTTGCCTCATCCAAGAGCTGAGCTGCACAATGACATATTTGTTGTATTGTGTCCAGGGGTTAAGTTGTCGATCCGAATGAATTTGTCACTTCGAACTGTAAGCACACTATGTACACCCTTCAATCAAGAATCTTCTCGCCAGTTGAGAATACATTCCATACCAAAGTCCCTACCAGATAAAGCACTACTGATAACTCGAATACGTTATCCCAAGAACCTGCATTTTTTAGGAATTAGGAGGTGGAGTTTCGTAAGCGAACTGGGTTTTAAAAATTGGTTGCTATAGTGTGCAACGCACGAGAGTGAGATTAGGCCATACCATGCTGCAAGATGTATCCTGTTGCTGCTGTGCCAAATACACCAGCTAAGACCCCAGCCGTGTTGGAAAGACCAAGCAGTACACCCTGAAAGACAGGAGGAGACCAAAGATTAGTGCCTCATGGATTCAGTTACATTTAGGGTAAAGTCCAATTTTCAACCTTCAACTATCACGGTAAAGTCCAATTTTGCACACAACAATAACGAGGTTATAAATTTTGCATGAAATAAGACGTTCTATAGAACATGGAGGAAGAGATTACTGCATATCGAGGGCCTATATCTTGATGGTTTGAGTATAGACCAGACTGCGAGAATGCATCGGTTCCCTGACATTGGAAAAAACATAATGCAATCAACATGCTATGCTCAGAACACAATGGTAAATCATAAAGAAAGGTTGTTATATGAAACTGTGTTGTTCTCTCACCCTAAAAAAATGGCCAAGATGGATAATTACCTGGCTACAAGCCATGCACAACACCGCCATGGCAGGCGAGTCGACATGGCTTAGTTGAGTTAGAAAAAATGCTGGCCCCAAGAATCCGATTGATTGCATGATCTGTCAAACGTGAAAATACATATGACACAATGGAAAGAAAATTCTTCAGTATGCGTGAGAAAAAGAAATTTCATCAGGCCACTGGATGAAATTTCATCACCCAGAATGCATAGTGATTACTAACTTTTTCATCATACAGTTTCAGTTTGATGGTTCTATGTGGAGCGTAAAATTCAGGATTTGTCTAAAATCTGGTGCCCAATTTTATGAAGTTGAAGACAAGGGAGCACTTTACCTTCCGAACAGTTGTCACAGATACTCCTCTACTGACAAGTGTGTCTGCAATCCAACCACCAACATTTGCAGAAACTGCCATCGTGAACCAGGGAAGAACACAGAAAAGGCCAGATTCCATAAGGTTGAATTTCAGAACCTATTTTCAAAGTTTTCAAAGCAACTTTTTAATGCACGAACGGTAAAAGTTCATGATCTCAAGGTGGAAAATTTGATGTCTAGTGTTACCTGGTTGTAGTATGTGGGCATCCAAGTGAGTAAAATGAAAGTTCCCCAGTTATGGCAGAAATGAGAAACTATAAGTGCCCAAACAGGTGGTTTTGATAATATTAATCTCCACGGAATTGTTTTAACAGGCTCGCCTGCTGTGCTCTGACTAGAAATAAGCTTCTTTTCTGCAGCGCTGATTCCAGGATCTTCAAGTGGGGAACTATATGCCTTAAAAAGAAAAGTGCAATAGCATTAAAAAATGATACAATGAGATCAGAGGACAATATTTGCATCACTGGAACAATTTCATATATATAATGCAACACCTAAAGATAAGAATACCTTGGTTGCCCATGTCGTGACCCAAACAACCCCTAGGGACCCGAATGAATAGAAGACTGATGGCCAACCGAACTTATGTATCAGCAAGGGGGAAAATGCAAGTCCTGTAACTGACCCAAGGTACATTCCACTATACACAAGAGCCAATGATCTGCTCCTCTCTGATACAGGAACCCATTTCGAAAGAATATTGTTCATTGCAGGCATGGCAACCCCCTGAGGAAAGAATGTATATGTTTTATCAGACAAGTGTATCGATGATGTAAATAACAAAACATGCAGGTTTAAGCAACTGAAAGAAGTTCGTCAATTGTCATAGCTGGGTAAGGGTAGGATGAGTTCTCAACAGTGAGAGAACAGAACTGCAGGAGTGCATAGCTCCCTGTGAATCTAACTTTCAAAGGTCTACAACCACCAACTTAAGCACAACAATCATTTTAAGGAAGCAAAGGTAATTCCTTCAGACAAAAGGAAGAAGCCTAGGGGAGAAGTCACCCTACATTGAACTCTACTATCACTCATACCCTCAAGAAGTCTTTAAACTTGGATGATAGAGGAATTGACGAGTTGCTGTATATCAGTGAGTAATCAAGGCTTACCTCACCAATTCCCATGAAAGCCCGCACAACAAGAAGAAATGGCAAGCCAAGCTTTGCTGCAACAGGAGTAAGAGCTGTAGCTATGGACCACCAAACCACACCAAAACCAAGGACAGTCTTTCCTCCAACAGTATCTGCCCATATTCCTCCAGCTATCTGCGACGAAAACAGGGCTAAGATCATATAGTAAAATTTGTGCTTGTATTCCTAATACAGAGTCCTCGCAAGAAGCAAGAATTTCTGTTACCGACCTGAGTTAGGAGATAACCCCAGAAGAAAGATGACTGGATGAGACCAACAGTCTGTGGGTTCCAACCATACTCTGCGGACATAGGCAGAATAGCAATGCTCATATTTACCTGCAAATGATGGTAATATAAATATAAATGTCTCACAAACAAAGTGACCACTACAGTTCATGCACTCCTTGGAAATAACTGCAATACATTTTACCATTGGTTTCCAGTTGCTGTAAGTAATAACAGGTACAGGAATAAGACCAGAAGTATTCTATATATGGCAGCAAAGGCTAGAATGAGTTGAGAACTTGTACATGCCACGAAAGATGAACAAGTTGTGCACACTAGTCACAATGGTTGGTTGATTTGCCAAAGCATTTGGTTATCTGAAGAGCCTAGAATCACCTCTCAGCTTTGAATAAGCGAGGTACACAAACAAAGGATACCGTCTTTGCAGAACTAATGGAACATTGAACACCCCATCTCACACTATATATACTCAAGGCAAGCACTCGAAACAGTCAAATTGAAGTTCGTGCCGGATTCTAGAACATGCATGATGCCTACTGGCTTGATCGGTTGTGGGGCACTATCACTATCAATCATGCAAGCAGGCGATACTTTAGTAAGAAGTGCAGAGAGCAGGGGTAGCAGCACCCCAGCAGTGACACGTACGCGGTCCATGTTGCAGAGCAGGAATGCGGAGAAGCAGAGGAAGACGATGGCCCAACGCTTGGGGAACTGTCCCTGCTCCTCCTCCGTGGCTCCCTCCTCCGCCGCCGGCGCCTCGGAGAGCAGAAGCCTCCTGACCGACGCCAGCAGCGCCCCGGTGTCTCGACCGCTCCCATCCGCGTGCGGATCGTGGCCATCGCAGCCGCGGCGCCTTCGCGGAGGTGTCTCCGGCTCCACGTCCGTCTCCCGCAGAGCCCGCGTCCTGGCCCTGCCCCCGGCCCGGACCCGCGGCGAGCCGCCGGTCCCGCGCAGGTGTAACGGTGGCGCGGGGCAGGAGAGCGGAAGCAAGTGCAGGAGCATGGTTGCAGAAGGAGGGAGGGAAAGAGAGAGAGAGGGAGAGGGTTCTGCAGGCGTGTTCGCGCGAAAGTTAAACAAGCGGCTCACGCGAAGCTCCCGGTGGTAGCGGAGATTTTTTGCCCCCTCTTCCTCTCTCGAGCTGTAGCGGTGCCGCGTGGTGGTGGCGATAGGCCGAGCGTGCGCGCGGGCGGGCTGCGATTCTTCGGAGCGGGGGCGGGGCGGGGGTGTGGCCGACTGGCCGCCGCGGGATACGAATGGCTATCGCGCGCCGGGCACGTCTCGGGAATCCGGGTGCCTCGTTATATCTGCCTACCTGGCGGCTGACGCGTGTTGGCGTGGCGTCAGCTCCAGCCGGCTCACACGTTGGGCCTCTCCTATCTGTCTGCTGGAGATGCCTGTTGGAACTAAGAAAGCAGTGGGCCGTTGCCGGGCTGTGCGACTCGATGGCTTTCAGCCTGTTCGCTTCCGCTGCCGTGGCTGCAGCTGTTGTTGTTCGTTCTCCTAAAAAAAAGCTGCTGTTGTTCGTGAATTAGATGAGACTAGCGTACCCGTGCTATGCAAATTTAAACTGAAATATATGCAGACTAAAAAATCAATCTACCAACAAGTATTGATCCAATATTGATATCATTATCGAAAAGAATAATTAGTTGATATACCATAAAAATCAATCTATCAAAAAGTAAATCTACTGCTGCTCGTTGTTTTCTATCAGCAGCATAAAACCTCTGCAGTAAAGCATAACTTGTTTGATATAGCTGTTCGCACATTCAACTAAAGGTTATAGCTAGGCTAAAATGTTCTCATTCCATGTATCAGGAACGCCAGGAAGGCACCAGTGCAATCAATCTTGAACGCCCAGCGTGGCCTTGATAATATTACCGTGATATATGCCCTTGGTCTCTCAGACGTGACAGGACAATTACATCCACAAGCTTGATCCTGGTTCCTCTCACTGCACCCTCGGCATCACCATCCTCAGAATGGTTGAGGTGAATGCCACTTCCCTTGGCCAAAGGGTTTGTGTTATCACAACTGCCTCCAATGTTCCACCGGTGACCATACACATCATTGATTGAAACATCTGCCTCCCTAAAAAATCACCAAAATAAGCAATGGTTTTATCCTGCATTCTGAAATATACCCAAATTAGTATTTCCGAATTGACTCAAAGATGTAGCCAAACAGTGCAGCATACACCTTCTCAAAGAAATTGGGCTTCAACCTTGTAGCTATTTGCACAGCGCATGTCTTGCAACATAGAGGCCTCCACTGACCTGGTGCATAGGAAAATCAATAGAGTACTCGATCAAATCGATATAATGAAAACTTGCTATAGCATAGCTGCAAAAGGGTCTTATAAAAACGAAGAACATCAGAAAGTCCAATTGATACCTGAACCATCTCTTCACCTTCAGCTTCTACTTTTGGAACATTTTCTTTTGAAAGAATGCGTATATTTGACCTTCCTTTAAAGTAACCAACCGAAATTCCAAGAGTAGCAGTGTCTAAGATAGAAATGATTTACATTGTCAGGAGACTTCTCCCAAAGAGAAGAAGAACGCAGGCAAGTAAAACAAACCTGATTTACAAAAGGACAACCTAAAACACATACCGAATACAACAAGCATCACTTTATAAAATTTCAAATTATTGAATACCAACATAGCAAAAAAGATTTTAGGGATATCAAAATTTCATGTAAGCACGAAACTCAACTTCAAAAAAGCACCTCGTTTAAATTGTTTTTTCATCTTCCTTTCATTTTTTTTGCTTAGTCATCTTTTTTACAGACGGAGTACATGATGTAGAAACAGGATATAAAATTGTAGGACCTACTTGAGAGTGCTAGTTCCAAAACGATCGGTGATCAGTAACAAAAGGAGCAGAGGAATTTAGTCCTAAATCAGGTTCAGACAGAAGATGAATGAATGGAAAAAAGGCAAAGATTGAGAAAAAACTACTGCTTGAGCTCGGTGACCCTTCCTTTCCCCTTTCTAAGGGGCACAGACGCAGCAGGAGCACCACCACCACTCTGATGGTAGCTGCTGCCACCAAGGACGCCATGCGGAGTAAACATCATGCCTTCGTGCTCCCAATTCCTTCACAGCTCATCCAGGAACCAAAAGCACCTACCTCTCCTCCCAAGCGCCGATGGCCATGGCAGCTGCGCCATGCCAAGGGAGCCCCAGCCAGCCAAAGAAGCCGCCGCCTTGACTTTGGAAAAAATGAGAACTAACACATCAAGCTAAATAAAAGGCACATCATAATTTACTAGATATATACCTCAGCATCATATGATAGTCATCACGTCTTGCAGGCAATAGACACAGAAAGGACCCGACTACCACTCTTCCTCCTATTTTTTTTAATGAATGCCTAATCTTAGTTGATGCATCTATTGCTTTTTTCTTCAAAGAGCCCATTCTTGTCTTATTTTCTTCTTCAGAGACTTCAAAGTCTGACTTATGGTTTCTACGTTCATCATGACTTGAGCACCCTTCAAAACCTGAAATGTTGTAATGAAAATAACTAAATAAATAAGCCATGAAACTGAATCAGAAATTGCTCCTTATTCTACCCAGAAAAAAACCCTCCAAGTCAACTCCTCCAAACTAATATTTCATCCTTTGAGATATTAGTTCAGTTGAATTGCCTTGTAGTTACGAGATCTGAAATGACACACAAAAAAGGGTGCATATCAGCTTCTCGTGTATCAACAATTTGTCAAAGATTGCAAAAACGAGCTGCATTCACCCCTATTGAATTTAGTGTCTGCTTCAATATCTCACTCTCCATGATAAGAACTTAGAGATATATAAACTGATAAAAATGTGACAGTGTTCAATAAAGGGCGTACCTAGTGCAGATAGCTACATTTAACAATTTATTTAGCAACAATATTAAAAATATTACAGTATAAGTAGGCCGTTAAAAAATACATTTGACAATTTATTTAGCAACAATATCAAAATGGTAGACTTGACAACAACTATATGATACATTCGCCCAGGAGCATACAATCTTCTTGGATATTTAAATTTTCTCTTGTCTTGTTTAAATGTATCTCTCAAGCAGATGAGGAAAAGCAAGCGGGCAAGCTGTCCAAAGCATAAAGGCCTGGTGAAAAACTCAATCATACGTGCAGTTTTTTTTTCCTGAACAAGAGCAGGAATACATAAGAATCTGGTGAAAGTGAACGTGATCCAGTTACCAGAAGATAGACCAAAAAATGTACTCGAGCGGTGTCGGCATTCTTGGCAAAAAGTCTTCATGGAAGAGAGACCAAAAAGTAAGCCAAAGACTTCAAAATAAGACTAAGATTTAGTACCAGAGATGATAATTAAATTGACGACATAGGATTGACTGAGTTCATAAAGGTTCATTTATTCAGAATAAACAAGACAATAACAGAGCAACAACCAACATTGGTAGTTGCAGACTCGCAACACACAATAATATATTCAACTGTGCTATCTATGTTTCTTCATAAATATAAACCATAATCCCTGTCAACTCAAAACTTGCCTTGGGACCTTGGCGTCTAGTGCGGTGGCGGCTAATCCTGGACCAGAGTTTTCTTGATGCTTTCAGAGACTAATCCATGAAACCCAAGAAACTCGGCAACCTGTAGAATTTACTCCCTTTTTCAGATTATCAACATGCCAAAGAAGTTCGGAACTTAATTATAGATATGACAAATAAAGAATTAGCATGCATACTTATTATAGTAATATGAGCACTAAAATTCAGATCTTACAAAAACTCATCGCATGGCAGTTGCATTCCCTCTCCGTGTCTCAAAACAAAGGTAGATTCAAAGTTTTCCCCAAATTTCGAAACCCTAACATCGGCGGGGATCAGAAAACTCACATCTAGCATGTGCTGAAGGGCGTGGCCGAGTCCGCCTTGGATCGCAGCGCCGGACGTCGAGGCACGCCGTCGAAGAGACCGTCGAGGCGCGTGCTGCCATGGGGATCTTGCGTGGTGGTTGCTTCACTGCTGCCGCCGGGATCGGCGTAGCGCAGAGGGATGTGGCCGCGCCGTCCTGGGATCGTGTCGTGCCGGACGTCTTCCTGTCTCTGCAGGTCGCTCGGCTAGGCTGAGGTTGCCGCCACCGCCCGAGAATGGCCACGCCAGCCCTGGATCGTGGCGTGCCGGACGTCTTCCCGTCTCTGCCTGAGGTCGCTTGGCTCGGCTGAGATCGCTCGGAGGTGGAGGATGTCGCGCTCGTCCCTGTACGTTGCGACAGAGGCGGAGCGGCTCGTCTGAGATAGCTTGGAGGCAGATGATTTCACGCTGGGTCCTGTACGTCGCGACGGAGCGGAGGAGGATGGCTGTTGCGGTGGTGGCGGGGTTTCAGGCGTTGAAGCGCGTTTGAAGCCGCGCGTGCGTGCGTTGGAGGGCGCGGGGGGTGCGGTCGTGATGAGGCGGAGTGCGGATGGCTGAGAAGGCTGGCATCACACATCAATGAGTGTCCATCCAGTTTGGTTTGGGTGTTTTATTAGCTCATGGTTTTAACGGAGACTAATTCTTATATATATTTTTCTGAATACATAATGGTTGAAGGCTCTCAGCGGAAAACGTTTTTGGGAGGATCTAGTATAATTTTTATTGATCCATTATAGTAGAGATGTAGTATAGTAAATACTAGAATATTATACGTGATATTGTAGATTTGTTACGTGCTATTTTTTTTCCATGCCGGTTCAAGGGATGATCTAAATATGGACCGTCCTATAGCTCATCGTGCCAAAATTTTAGACACAAACTTTTGCGTTCGTGTCGTGTCATGTTTTACGCCATGACAAAAGACAATGCACGACCCAAGGCCCTGTTAACTTGTCCTATGCTCCGTACTTTTCAACTTGTTTTTTCAGTTGAAATAGTGTTTTTCTCTCACAATAAATTAGTCGGAACAATGTTTCGGTTTGTTTTTTCAGCGAACCGAACGAGGCCATTGTTGACGCCGAATAGGATCTGGATCACACACCAGCAAGAGT